CGCACGAGCACGTGTAGGACGGGTGAACTTAGTTGCGCCTCAGCGTGCTCGTGCGGGATGATGGTTTCGCCGCGAATCTTTTTGGGTGGGCGGATCGACGCACGGGGATGCGTGTAAACGCGCAATTCGGATCGTGTTTACACGTGTCTTCGCGCGGCGTTCGCAGGACCCGACATCGGATTGTCTAATGGCTCCGTAGGTTCGATTATGCGAGATGCAACCACACCACAACCCAAGCAACAACGAGAACAAAAATCGCTATCGGGGCCAAGTTCTTATCCTCTCAACAACTATATCAGGTGCAGGCGATGATTCGTCACAAATAAAAGCAAGGACAAGTATTTTCAGCAAAAGATAGACAAGCAGGCACAACATCCATACATCCAGTAATCATACACATAATGCAATCGAGACGGGAATCGCAAAGACAAGTGTGACCAAAAACCCAAGTCCAGATTCCAGAAAGTCGAGACGAAAAACAGGAACGGGCAACCGCCCGGAGCCGCAATCAAAATGTATGTACACAGATGAAGAGGGGGAAGAGAAAGAAACAGCGAACCCGCGTCCATCGACCTCAACTCTCTCTCCTCCTCTTCTCTCTCTTCTCCAATGCGGACAGTCCGTCGTCACGCACCAACCCACGAAGTTGTCGCCCCGCTTAGTCCTCCCGCACCCGTCAGATTTGCCCGTGACCACAGTCCGTCGTGGCCCACGTCAATCCCGCGCGTTCGGCACTAGCCCGTCAGGTCGCCCAACTCCTACTCTACTCACCTCTTACTTCGCTCGTGTGCCGACCCTTCCTGATCGCGCAACCCCAAGCTTCCAACAACGGGTTAAGAGAGCTAACTAATCGCTCAGCCGGATTTTATAGCGTGCATGCATGCGCGAAGAACACGGAATTACCAAGACTTAGAACGGGGATTAGAGAGGGAGTGCCTTCGTTCTGCATGATCAGGCCGCGGCCTGGGGGACGTAGCCCTTATCCACGCATCGATCCAAGCATGCAAGCCGCAGCTTACAAAAATCACAGCAAAAGAAAGAGAGGGAGGGCGGGAGAGACGAAGTGCAAGAAGAAAGATACAGTTGCGATGGCGCCCGCCCAAAATTACAGTTACACACGCGATTAAGGGCGCCCACTAATCCGAATACCGTTGCAGCCGCATGAAGAAGCGCGTAGACAAAAGGCGCCGCGCGGCAGAAAAATCCTAATTACTGAAATCCTAAATTCCTATCTAATGCGAAAAATCAAAAAGCACGAACTTCAGGGGGAAAGTGCGAAATTCCGAGAGCTATCGGGGCTCGACAAAATTCAAAAAGAATGTCCGCGCCCAAAAGACCGAAACCGAAACGGAAGAAACGACGTCAACATTTATTAGTCGCGCGAGCGGTGGTGCGCCAGCCATCAACCGACCAATCAATCAACCGGCCGTCCCCGGACACACCCAGCTCCAAACCCAGCCATATGAAAAGAAGCGACGAAAAGGACGAAAAAGCAAGGGCACTGATGCAATTTTCCACCGATCTCGATCTCCCGTAATTGGCCCAACCTTCCCAGCTTAGGACCCCTCGTTGCAACCGCGCAGAAAATCGCGCGTTACAGAAAGTGGTTCGTCACACAGGGAGTTTGAACCCCCTCTGCAAGGTCTGTAGTCGCACGTTCACACCTAGCTCCCGAAGTACCYGTGCAAACAGGGCTTGGACAGTGTCCGCTTCAACCAGGGCTGAGTGGGCAAGTAGGGGTCCCCCGCTCATTCCCTGGGATCCCACAACAATCAAGGCCGGCAGGGAATTTCATGATCCAAAAAAAGGATGAGAATATTGGTTTTCTCCTTTTCTCAGCAACCTGCACA